AAACAAAAACCAACTAAACAAAACAAAAAAAAAAAAGCAACCAAACCAAAGCAAAACAAAAAAAAAACACCTCTCATTTTTCTATACTACCTTCTGTAACTTTAAGTTGGCCATACTTATTCCAAAACAGTCTGATCCCTCAAAGATTAAAAAATAAACTAATTTAAAAAAAATATATTAATCCAACATTGTAACCTTCATTGTTTTCTTATCCACTTCTGTGTTTGATTAAGCTACATTGAGTTAACTCCACCAGGGTGGATACTGTAGCCAAGATGGAAACATACTTACAGAGGACATTAAGAATCATCCATGGTCACTTCCAACAAAAATAAGTTTAATATATCAGAAGTATTTTTATTCTGGCTAGTTTGTACCACTCTAATTGTGTCCATGATTGTCAGGGTTATTTTTATTTTGGCTGTTTACTGCACTGCAGCTATTAAGGTTCTTGAGGGTTGAATGTGACTGGAACCAGGTGGACAGTGCACAAAAACATACTGTCTTGTCCTTTGCTTTTTGAGGGGATGCAGGATCAATATAAAGATTTGTTGTAAACCAGAATTCAATGAGATGTAAAGAATAAGACATTTGTCCTTTTTGCTTATATTCAACATGGTATTTCATGATCCCTGCTTCTTTAAAGCTATGCTCACTAGATTTCTGTCCATCATTCTTTGTTTCATGGTGATCATGCCTCTATTTATTCTTTTAAATAAAGAATAAAGGAGTAATATTTTGTTTTCCAGTGCGTTCAGATAAAGCAAAGGTCTTGTCAATATTAATCTACTAGAGATAAATTTAAAAAACAAAGATCTTTATATGACCAACCATCCCATAATCTCTTATGTACACCTTTGTCTTTTCCATCTGACTTTGAAGGATCAGAAACTTTATCATAAATCTTAAATATTCATTTGCCACATCTGAAAATTTGACCTTGTAAGGACTTTATGCACCTAAAAGTTATCACGTATCTTTCAGATACCTGATACCTAAAGTAGGATCCAGATACCTCCATCTCAAATTCCACCCTCTTTTACATCCTTGCCTCCAGAAAGGTATCGCTGTCTACTTGAGATCTATATCTGCCCTTCAGAAACTGTCAACTATATATCCATATTTTCAATGCAGTGATCATCTTTTATATGATGATATTGTTACCGACATTGTTAGCTTCCTAACTCCCAACAAACTGATTGATGCAATTCCTTCAGGAAGTGTAAGGGGCTCAAATAGAAACTGTTTTTTCCCCCAAGAGAGTTTACAAACCCTCTTAATGTTGAGCTACCCCAAGAGGTCAACACTATCCATTTCTCCAGTAGAATGAGGATCCAGAAGTAAAGGGAGCATGTCAGGCAATCTGATCCTGCAGCTTAATGTCTCAAGCAGTTCACAGGTTTTTTATTATGAATAATATTATAAAGAACTAAAGCCTTGATACCAAAGCAAAATAAGCAAAGTTTACAAATAATGATTAATTTTATCACTACTATAAACCTCCTATACCTATTAACCATCAGCCTGATTTGGGTTTGGATTACTCAAAAAAAATCAGTTTGCTATTTCAGTGAACTCAAAAAAATGTAAAATGACCTTCAGTGGATGCATGAGTCTTATAGTTATGGGTACTCAGGTTTCCACCCCCAACCTCATCTGTTGTCTAGAGATTTTCTTGGATACAAAAGTTTCAAGTAAAGAGTTCGATGAAATTAAAAGAAAACTGATTCTATTAAGAAAACATGAGTAAATAAAACCTGAAATTCTTTCTCTTAAACTAAGCCACTTGTCATGAGCATAATAGAAGAGATGTTAAAACAAGGGAAGTATAACTGTTTTGGGGTTTTTATTTAGATGATATTATGTATTACTATTATTATAATTAATATAAATTGTATTACTTCCCTTTTAAACAAAATAAAAAACATAGCTCTCTTGCCACAGTCTGCCCCATTTCTGGTAATGGAATGAGGTATTGACTTGTTTCAGGAAAGCTGTTTTCTCTTTGGCTTTGAAAGATGCACATTTGTATATGTTTTTATAAAATTGTCTCTGTGAAGTAAATCCCATCAACTCCATTATCTAGAATAATGAATTGTTAGGATACATAAAATGGTAGGTGGAAAAGAAGAAGAAAAAAGAAAGTACTACAGGCAGCCAGTTAACACCTTCCGGATAGGACTGGCTATCTTATAATCAACATCAGTGCCTTTACACCATTCTCCCTAGAATGCACTTTTCCAGTATCACAGTACAAAGACACTTCTGCTAGTTTCTAGCCAGTTCATATCTAGTTTATGTTCATGTTGTCAAGAAGACAAAAGGATCAGTTGTTTTTTTTTCTCGTGGTTTTTGTTTGTATTTGTAAACACCTACTTAAGTGTTAGAAAAAAAGTATTCATTAAGGCCTTCTTCATCACTCTTAAGGAATCACTGTCAGTGCATCAAATTGTAAGCATGCACTGTGGTCAAATTTGAGCATTTTACTACAAGTTACTACAACCACATCAAGGTCATTAGAAGCTTTTGTGCCTAACAAAAGTTAATACCATCAAATGCATCTTGTCTCCATAAAATTCTCATTGTGATGCCATCCTTTACAAACAATATGTACTATCCAGCAAGTAACTGAAGAGACTTCCGAGTTTTGGTTCAGTATTGTTTTTCATTTAGTTTTTAAACTTTTTGAGATTAATGCTATTAAATTAGATTTTGGAAGATTATATTACTTTAAAGATCTATGTTAATTTAAAGTGAATAAACCACAAAATAAAAACTGAGATTTAGTGCCTTGGTGAGTATGAGCCAGACTTTTGTATTTCAGGCTAATCCTAGCCATTTTTTTTTTTTTTTTTTAATTTCTTTTCTTTAAGTGAGATACTGAAGCTCTTATCTAATCTGGGTTTTGGTAGTCATGTATTCTGCCTGTCAATTATTTTCTTCTATGTTAGAGCAATATTTTTTTCATTCCAATAGGTGTTGCAGCACACTGTTAAGATAAGGAAGTATCAATGTATTTCCAGAGAAGTTAAAGCCAGATCATAATTGGAATGAAAGGCAATTTGATATCCAATATAGTACAATATCAAAGGACAAAGAGGTAGAAAAAACTCCAGCCCGCTAGAAGTGACAGAGAGATCGTTATCAACTCCTTGTACAGAAAGAAAGACACAAGATCATTCCCGAGAAAGTAGGCAAGAGATGAAGATGAGTGTTCAGACTACCTGGCACCAATTACCACTGTAAGAAATACTAGCATTAAAATGTAGCTGTGACCTTATTATTCTTCATGCACATTATTTATTATGTAGCATTATTTATCAATGAATCCTGAAAATGAAGGGGGGATTACGACTTTTCTAAGTGTTTACAGAAATATGTTTGAAGTCAAAGGATAAAAAGCAATATGGAAAACAATTGGTAAGCCAGCACAGTGACTGTTCTCAGTACACAATCCTATCCCACTGTGCCATGTTGCCTTAGGGAAGGAAAAAAAGTGAAGGGACTATGCACAACCAGCTTTCCTACTCTTGAAGTTATTCACTCAGCACTAGGTAGAGGTAATAAAGTGACTATATGATGTACTGAGGGCTCATCTGGCTCACTGGTGAGGCTGCCAGCATAGTGCTTTTGCCCTGAAGGGGCTGAAAATATTTGACATCAACAACTTGATCTACTGGGATTGTGACAGCAGGTCTGTATCTTTTCTGTGCAGTGTGTCAGACTGAAGGAAATATGGAAAGCAACACAGGACAAATGTTTTGACCTTACAGTGCTATGCTGTGGTGATGAGATACTACGAGTGCTATCATTTTCCCTGCTAACATTTTCCAGGAGCAATACCTTCTGCTGTACTTATGATTGGTCTTCTTTAGGTACATGTTCTGCTATACATTGGCAGAGGAAGTCATTAATGTTAACAGTTTGATTCTAAAAATTCTATATATTCTATTCAGAAATGTACAAATCATTTAATTAACATAAATAACTTTCTCAGATCAGTTTAAGGATATGTAAACTTGAAGAATTTTTTTTTAACTAGTCAAAAATAATTTTGAAAGGACCTTGACATAGAATAATTGTGAAGGAAAAAATACCTGTAATACATTGTTTGCAAATGAAAATTGCAACATAGTTTCCTTAGCAATAGGCAACACAAAACTATCTGATAGTGCATTTCTTCAGTGGTCAGATAGAAGGTTCATATTTTTAAGTGACTTCCCTTGTTCTTGTATTGTTAGTAATGATATAGACCTGCTGTACAGTGAAATACACAGTTAGTGAAATAGAGTACATGAGTAATACAGAGGCTACTTTACCCTGCCCCAATCTGCCTCTAAAGGCCATTTTTATTCCTATTCTTCCAGAACAGAGGAAGTCAAAATCCTGCATATAGAATCATAGAATAATCTGGGTTGGAAGGAACCTTTAAAGGTCATCTGGTCTAACCTCCCCTGCAATGAGCAGGGACATCTTCAACTGCATGAGGTTGCTCAGAATCCTTTCCAACCTGACCTTGAATGCTTCCAGGGATGGGGCAACTTATTCAAGTGTTTCACCATCCTTATCATAAAAAATTCCATCCTTATATCTAATCTAAATCTACCTATCATATCTATCTATAATCTACCTATCATATATCTATCATATCTATCTTCAATGCAATTTGTAGTTCAGCAAATTAAAGTAGAAAGAGAAGTTGAATTAAATCTATAAAGCATTAATTAAATCCAGGAGGTAGGTGACTACATCCTCCTTCAGTCTCTTGCAGTGAAAATATTCTGAATAGAATTAAAACAACATTTTTAGTTTATATTGTAATGCCATTATTAATATCAAGGCATGCCAATACAGTCAACAGTAGGAAAGGGATTTTATGAATCTCAGTGTCTGAAAGCTTGTAAACTAGGATTAATATACAAAGATACTATAATATGCATAGAAGCAATTGAAGTACACAGTTTAAAAAATAACAACACTAAACTATTCTAAATACTTACATATATGTATGGCATAACTGTCTCAGTGTCACAATTGTGCTATGTCACAGACAATCCTAGGGAAAAAAAAAAAAAAAAAAAGTAGTTTAGGAATTTTGTGAGAGAATAGCTGTTTTCTTGTACCTCCTGATGAAATCTGTTATTTTCAAAACTCTTCCCATATCAAATGTTATTCTATTATGTAACTAGATCAGCATAATTAATGTGATAAGTTCAGAAACCTGAATCTGCTAGTGGAAGAAGAAGAGCATGTGATGTTTACATGTCTTTTGGAGAGTGATACTGAAAGAGCAGCATTCACAGAAAAGCAGGACTGTTGAATATTAATAAAAATATGGTGCTCAGTTTTCTAGATACATATACTGAGGTGGTTCTACTGTTAATTTCAGTGTGAAATAATTTGTTAATCATGAGCATACAGCCAAACACTCAGCACAACCAACAGAGTCTGCAAGTGACAGGAATTTATTTTTAATTTTGGTTTGGTTTTTTTTTTTTTTATGTCTAAATTAATCATGAGAGCACTCAATATATCATTTGTGGCTTTCTAGCTTAAAAGCTGTCATACAGTTTGTCACAGATCAGAAACATAACAAGGTAACTTAAGCAATGAGTCACATGTCATCATTAATATCCAATGCTAAAAACCCACAAAATTATTCACCCATATCATTAAGTACTTTCTTTGGAAGTAATAAAGGAAGTACTTCCTTTGGGAATGAAGATTTGAAGGCCAAGCTTAGCAGAATCTCCCTCAAATAAGAATCAGGGAATTAGATCCTGTATTTGCAACTAATAATTCAATCTCTCCTAATACAGAAAAATTTTATCCTACTCCCGAACAGTGAAACAATGCATTTTAGTCATTTTGCTTTCTATCATAGTGAGTAGTTATATGTCCTGATAATGTGAAATACAATTTTTCTTCCCTAAGAAGAGAGAGCTATTTTTGCTATTTATCATGTTCTTAGGTTGACATATTTTATTTACATGTTGCTTCTCCCCATCTGAGGTTTCACACTGATAGTCCTTTGAGGAAGTTAAGTACCCCAAAGCACTACCTCTTTCAGTGTTTTGTTGAATTTGAATTAAGATTCCCTGCAGTAAGTTACAAAATTGTTCAAAATTGACTCTAGGCATCCTAAGAACCCTAAAGCTTCTAAGGGATTTGCTTAAAACTAAAAACTGAATATCTCCTGAAGGAAAACTACATGTCAGATTTATATTATAATGTGTTATTGTGCTTTTTGTTCTAATTGAGTTTGAAGCCAAAATGCTGCTGTTTTGAAAATGCTCCTGAAGTATTATACTGTTATTATTATTTCCACATAGAAAACCAAACAAACAGCATAACAAATAATAGCTCTAGAACAACAGCAATTCTGGGAAATTTTCCATCCATTATCCATATTATTTAATTATACAGTTTTATGTTGTGTATGAGTAAGAAGTTTTAATATTTATGGTGAAGCATAGTGACAGGTTACATTTTATACAAATGAAGCAAAATTATTTTAACTGAGTATCTAAGGGGACAGTATTTTATTTTTAAAATTTTAGCATAGCCTCAAGAATTAGATAAGGAATATGAAAAAGTAAATCACATCTGCCAATAAGGGATATACAATCATAAGCAAATCTGTACCACTTTTTTGCATTTCAGTAATACTAAAATATTCTTATTTAATGCTAATCAGAACAGTGAAAGCAGCCAAGACATGAAGACTAAATGGACTGTTTCTTTAACCATAGAAATTTCTTGAGAACTGATACCTCTTTGTGGACATTTAAATCTTTTTCAATACTGACTACAGCTGAATTAATTCTTTCCTCTGTATGGCACCTAAATGTATATTAGATTCAAATATAAATGTAGGGTTATTCGTTCAGGACTAGATTTTTTGATGTAACAGAGTATGAAGCTGTTGCATATTCTAAATAGAACCACAACATGAGTAATGAAAGTATTGTGTAACAGATTTTTATAATATAAACTCTTTCATCTTTGAAATTTAATCTTTTGAGACAGAACAATGACCTAGCAATTACTTTATATTACTTTATATCTTTGATAAAACTTTTCCCTTTAAAAATTACATCTGGTTACCATTTATCATATACTCTATATATGTCTATGTATGTAAATGAAACTCAGACAGGTAATGGCAACTTCCCCAAACGAAAAAAAAAAAAACAACAACCAACCAAACAAAAAACCACCACCAAACCAACCCACAACAATTCTCCATCTTTTAAAGTAAGACTATCAATACTTTAAAAGTGTCCTTAGTCTTCTGTGTTGTAAAAGTTACTAAAGCAATAGCTTGCCAGTATGATATACATATTAGATATACCTAATAGTTCAATAGGTTTTCTGGAGATAAAAAAAAGGAGGCTCTGTTCTTGTTCATTGTAATGAAACAGTGTCCCAGGTTTCCTTCATGGCTTTCATAAGCTAGATTTTGTCCTTAGCATTGCTTTAATACAACTAGTGTAAATTGATGGATCCATTTCCATCATTAAACTCCTCCTCTACTGATTTAGTTTCAAATCAACCTTTTTGGATTTTCTACTGCCGCAGTCCACTCTACACAGTTAAATCAAGTGAGAGTAAACTAATCCAGTTTAACATCTTATTCATAAAGTTATTTCATAGCTGTAGTTGATACTTGATATCAAATATTCCCTCTAAAGTTTGTTTCTTGAGAGTTCAAAATTTAACAAAATATTTAAATATGAGAATTTTCAGACTGAAGGACTAGGCAAATGCTCACTCAGCTGATGTGAGAAATTGGGAGTTAATGATGTGGATACACAAAATGGTTCAGCCTTCTAGACAGACAGCTAGCTATGACACCAAGGCTGTATATACCCCTGTGAAACAAAATGATATGAGGGATCTTCAGCTGAACACTCCTTACCTTCTAGTAAGAAAGCCCCCCTACCGAGTCAAATATGGTTCATACTAGATCCAGCTTTTTCGCTCAAGTGGTATCTGAGATTTGAGTATCTTCAACAAGTCTGAAATGGTGTCAGTACAGGCATAGTGAGACTATGCCATGCTTCATTACTTTGAGATATATCATAACACTCAGACCTTAAATATACAAACAAGCAGAAAATCACGGCACTCAAAATTCCATTGCTGAAACTATTCAGATTCTTGAAAGAAACACTTAGATTGTAGTTTACTGAACAGATTAAAATTCTGTTCTCTCAGTGTCTACATATTTCTATAATACAGGAAACAGATGGCCTTTGACATCAACCAACCTTTGGAAAGAAAAAGGAAGGGAGTTCAAACACAAGTCAAGTCAATGTGCATTTCAGGTTGCCTGTTTACAGATAAATCCTTTACAAGCTTTCATCTCAAGCCAGTCCATGCAAAAGGGATATGTATTCTATATTCACTTGCATTTTAATTCTCAGTAGAAAAATAACGAAAGAAGGTCAAGTACCAGTTATACCAATACTGTAATGTACTTCAACAGTATAGAAAAGGCTTCATTAGAGGACACCAGTTTTGATGCAGCCATCCACACCAGTTCCTTCACATGACAGTTAAAGAATCTATGGAACAGGTAATTGAAAACATTTGTAACCTACATTATATCTTACAGGAACAGCATTTCAACTCATTGAGTAATGATTAGCATAGATCCTGAAGATGCTTATTCCGTAAGCTACCAGTATTTATCACACAATTAATATAATTTGGGATGCTCTAATTTTCATTTTAACATCAGACAGACTTTATAAGGTAGAGAAAAATGTTTCATCTATAACATTTGTTCATATTGTAGTAACCATATAGAGTAACGGGCAGCTTGTAAGACATGAAGGTACCAGCATAAAAGGTCTACAAGCAATCCAACATGTGTCATGCGTTAATTATCAGTGGTTTATACAGTTCATTGATAATTACATCCATTATCAACTGACAGTATTTCCATGTTTTCCATGTATCCAGGTATTTATTTTGAAAACACAAAATCACTAACATATATTGGAAACAGAAGATGGGTGAATGCATTTAAATGAATATGTATTAGTAACAGAAACAGGGTTTAACAAAATTATACATATATATGGAGATAAAGACATTTTTGTCTAATTTATCACCTTCTATAAAATGTTTGTTATTTCAATCAATTACCACAAAACTTATCTTTCCTTGTTAACTTACATGCAGTTACTATAAAGCAAGATTTCTGCTGATGTTTCTTTTAATTGAAGTACAAAAGGACTTTTCTCATTTAGAAGCTAAGCACAATAGGAAGAAGGAAGTTTACATGCTTGTGATTTCAAGCAAGGATCAAGACATTGTTCCTTTGTGTGACTCATAACCAGGAATTCATATCTAGATTCCTGTTAGGTTGCATGTCTGACTCACGTCCTCTCACAAGGTGTGGTGCAGAAGCTACTCTGAAAGTTATAAGACAGTAATTTTCAAACATACTAAAAAGACTTATAAAAATGAGCCATTTCAGTCTCCTGGAAATGACTAATTAGAACTATTTCAGCCATTACAGTCCCTCCCTTTACAGTCTGCCTGTGAATACTTTTGACACATGAGAGATAGAGATTTACAGATTAGTCTCCTTTGTATCTCCTGAAGACTGTGTCTACCACTTCTAATGCTTTCGTGCCTCTATAAGTATATGCCTTTGTGCAGGACAGGTTGTCCTGACATTTCAGTCAGATCCATACTTGAGAACCCCTACTTCCCTTTTCCACATCTCATTCATTTTTACTTGTTTCAGGTAAGTAGGTAAAGCAGCCAATTTTAGTCTCATGGGCTACCTGTCTGATATAAAAACTGTTTCTCAATGGAACTCAAAATGACAAATGGTCTTGATGTCCTACACAGCAATCAGGATTCCACTGTACTCTGTGCTGTAAACTCCTGGAAATGAAAAAGATACTCTCTGCACTAAAGACCATATAACCTTCTAGCACACAGACACAGCAAAGACATTGGAAGGAATAAAGTCTAATAGTAATACAAGAGTGAGAGTAGCACGAGGCAAGCTGAACCCTCGGATGGGTGTTTTATCCATGAAAAAATCTGAATTATATTTTCTAACTACTCTTTACAGTCGTCTGAAAATCATCCTTTCTCTTCCCTTCTATATTAAGTGAATATGTGTTCTGGGGACCTACCACAAGAAGCAAAACAGGGAACAAACTAAAGAGCAATGATTATATAGGGAACGACAGATCTACATCTATATAAAAACTGTAGAAATACTCCTACTGCTTTTCATTTTGCTATGCTCGGGAGGCTTCTCTAGGAAACAGAACACTCATCCCTCATGGCTTTAACCCCATATTTAACTCTGCCCATGAATAGCCACTTCATAATGAAAGTTCAATTCTGTAAAATACAATTTGGTGTACTTTGTTTGCCATTAGTAGCAGTTTCACTTGATAAGGTCTTGAAGAATGTATTTCAGAATAAGTGAAAATTTTCCTTCCAACATACAACAAAAAGTTATTGAATACAGTTACACAAAACTAATGGTCTTGTAGGAAGTCCACCTACTTTCAAGAAGGTTAGATAAGGATGTGCTTGATTTTCATTACCACAATGTAATATGATAAAATAAATTTTTTTTGTATTAAATTTAACCTTTGGTTCCTAAATAGCCAATGATGCAGGACATAAATTTCAAATCAAATCATACCAGAAGAGAAAGTAAATCATTTATGGTAATATTTTAGCTGTACTTGTGATATGACCAATCATTTTATTAATCTTTTTGCAGGTAGGATTTCTTCTCTAAAGATTCTCTCGAGAAAGGAAGCTTTTCCTGATCAGAAACTAAACTTTATCATTTCTCCCTGCACTCAGATAAATAGGTATCTGGAAGTTCTTTGTGCTTTGTGGCAGCTTGCATTCAAAGGTCAAACCAATTGATTAAAATGGCAACTAGCAAGTCCATATAATGTGGTTACATGGTGGCCCAATAGTCTTCATGTGCACCTCATTAGGTCTAATTGCATTGAAGTGAACTGTAATTCACTGTTAATCTAAAACAGCTGAGAGGATGGAGTTCTTCACACAAAGCGCAGTCAGGTAAGTAATTTCAAGCATGCTTTGTGTCCTTGCAAATTACAACAGAGTTAAGAGAAATCTTGCATATTACTAACAAAATGAAAAGCCTAGTAATCAGTAGATCAGGGTGGAGAGACAAAGGTTTAATACTTTAGTGCAATACAATTTTTACTAGCCAAAATTTCAAGGACGTGTATGCATTAGCCATAAATTTGACATAATACCATTCAACTCATTCCTTATTTGTTCTAGGTCTCACCCCACCCTCCAATCTTCATACTACTGAAAAAAAAAAAAAAATCCTAAATAGAGAATATGCAGGAATAGCATGAACTTAAAACTCCCCTGTGTGTTGTACAATAGGAACTTTATTGCTAGCTATCTAGGAAGCTCCACGTTCCTGAAGATAGTTTTCTCCAGATTAGAGGAAACAAAAAAAATAAATAAGCAAATCAAATCAAACCAATAGTCAACTCCTCAAAAACAAACTGGAAGAGAAGTATAGGGATTTCAAGGCTAAACATAAAATCTAGCCTATTGCAGCAGCATGAGATTGTTACAGTACTCACTTTTTATATGCCTGGCTTGTAGATCAAAATCCATGCTTGAAGGGTACAATGCAAGGTGTAGTGACTGTGAGTTGCCTAAGAGAGGAATCCGTGTAGTGGCATGGAAGATACAGCTAAAGGGAACACCTCCAAAACTTCACACCCAGACAAAGAAAGGCAGGTCTAAGAGGAAAAAGCATGGATGCTTACTTTAGCTAACATCTGAATACTGTTATGTTTCAGATTAGACCTTACAAATTAGGTACCTTTACACCAGGTGAATCTCATAATTTAAGATCTTTGTGTTTCTGACCTCTTAAGCCTAATTCTGCATGTCCAACACCAGCAAAACAACTTAAAAGAATAATGAAGATTGGTTCAAAAAGTCAAATACCATCACATATGTCAATTTTGTGCAAGACTGATAAGCTTAACCATCTAAAAATTTTAACCAGTCTAGATGAATATTCATAACTTGGTTCCTAACTGTATTACTTATTAAAACAGCACTTTGTTTTACCACATTGTGAGGCGCCAAATCATGAAGTGGGACTCTGCTGTGCTAAGTAGCAAGAGGACAAAAACAGTCACTTCCCAGGGACCACAAAACACAATATCAGGCTGGAGAGAACAGAGAGATATAAGCAGAGACAGGTGCACAAGGAAACCAGGAAAGTAAGAACTGCAGCATCCACAGAACATCCCCAGCCTGACATTTCTTCTTATTTCTTTCATAGGCATTATAACAAGGGAGAGTTTTAAGGGCTTGAATTTAATGAGGTCATCTTTTAAACGTTTATGGCAAGTTTCAAGTACAGGGTCAACACAGAAGAAAGCAGAAAAGTGCTTGTTTGAAAAGAAAATCTAACAAGTGGGCAACGAGGGTATAATGGAAGGCAGGAGCTGACATTCAACAGAAGGGGAGGACAGACTATAATGTACTCGTATGTGATACAATAGAGACACAGGCTTTGTCGCAGCATTCACTTGGACATGATGAACTTGTCAAGGCCAGAAAAAAGACTATTATGGCAATTGAGATATAAGATGTTAAGAGCTTGGACAAGAGTTTTAAATGTTTTCCTATCAATCCAGTCATCTGAGAGATGTTACTCAAAAAGGAACTACAAGAATAAGATGAAACTTAGCTAGGAAGAGGTCTGAGGTGACCATGGTGGATCAGGGCTTCCATGAAAGTCAATGGGAGCTGAGAGGAAAGCTTAAGGCAGGGAAAAATGTCTGATAGAGCATTATGGTTTAGTCAGGTACAGCTGGATCACTCAATTCCATTAATTTAGAGGTGATGGTAATTACAAACAAATGTTGTATTATGAAAAGATAGAAGAAAGTCCAGAGGTGACATCTTTAGATCTAAGACTCAATAGTTTGGAGTTGGTAGCTGAAACAGCTTGTACACAGGGTTACTGTGCTTTTTCAATTAATAATTTAAATATATATATATATATATTACTTGAGATGACCTGCACACTTACTCTTATGCTAAGGCAGAGTGTGAAGAAACTTTTTCCAGTTTCCCCACTGCTTAGAAGTTTTCCTAAAATCGGGGGAGCAAAATATGATGCTACACATAATATGCCCATGAGCCTACCATTATGTATATGTTAATTATTACAATACAATGTAAAAATAGAAACTGACTATACGTAATATCCATGTATTTACTATGCAGACTAGTAGATAATTAAGTTTATAAGTGCTCACTCTTAAGACATGGGAAAATATTTCCATTTATTATATGTAAAAAAAAAATACTTTGTGCTTTACTTAATTATTTATGATGATGGGATTTATTTGGAACTATTGGTAAGACCTTCATCACTTATGGTAGGATATTTCTGGTGAGAAATAATGATGTAAAGCTCTGTTTGAAGCTTCACAGGTAACAAAATTGGTACTAAAACTACACCTGATGATAACTTTCTCAGCTACATTCAGTTTTAAAACTCTAAAAAAAAAAAAAAAAAAAAAAAGAATAAAAAGAGTTAGCTCTGAGACTTCATTTGATCCACAATGCAACCCTCTGTCTGTGTTTCTTTGCTTCACTCACGTGTCGCAAAATGACCAAAATGTTTTTCTCACTGCTTTCAATCAAAGTCAGCATAACAGCCTCACCTGATTTCTGATGAGATTTCTCACCCTGGAGGTCCTCTGTGATGACCTGTAAATAGAATAAGGAAGAGGTAAATACAATTCATTTCATTAATAGTGGAAGAAAAAACATCGGTGTTACCAAAGCACTAACCACAATGGTCTGATGGAGGAAAGAGATCTGCCCCTGCAGCCCTCCTAAAGTGTTTTAATCCACTCTGCTTCAATTGACCATCTTCACTAAATTTTCACCTAAGATGAGGGTCTTTTATCCCTACAGTCTATGTTTATGGGAGAAACACACGCTTATACACTGAAACAAGGCTTGACTGTGAAAAGTAGCAGTTGCTAATGGTGAGAAGTTTTAAGTGTTTAGCATTACTCTGAACCTACTGCTCCTTTAACTCTTATTTAAATTAGCATCAATTGAATTATGTCAGGACTAAACAGAGAGAAGAAATTTGGTATACCACTGTCATTGCATCATATTATAGCTTCTCTATAATTTTGCCTGTTCTGATCTTTTAGGTACAGATGATTTAATTGTTAAATGTCCCTGAAGCCATTAGGTAGCAAAATAGCTAAATACATAGTTACCTGGGTAGTCTCCAGGAGTTGCATGAAGCACTTTGATTATAACCTCTACATTCATGATTTTTTCTTTGTTGCTGATAAGCAAATTGCCAATACCCAGTAAGAATGCTTCATTAATAACTTCAATTACATACAGAATAATCACATATTCATATAATGAACATATGATTATGTTTGTATAAGAACAGCTACTTCAGTCTATGTAGAACATTAAAGCACCAAGACACAGATGGTATGCAAAAATAATAATTTAACTCATTAAACTGTACTCTGGGAGAAGCAGAAACAAGTTATGCACAAACTCTGTTGCCGGTTGAATCATACACGGGAGTCAATCAAACATCTCTTGCTTCCTATTCCATTTCAGGAATTAAAAAAAATAACTTAGATGATATTACTGTCCCAGATTTTTCTAAGTCTCATTTTTGACCCCTTTTGAAGGATATTCCATCTATTCTTTAGAATCCTCATCTCTTTGCTAGCTTCTCCAATACCTTGTTTTTGATTTGAAGGCTTGCTTTCAAGCAAGGAAAATCTAATTGATATTTAATGGCTTGGCTAGTGAATTTCTGATTAGCTCCACAGTTTACACACATCATGTAGTTGAGTGCTCTGCACTCATACATACAGAAAACTAGTGCAACACATAACCAGCACCTACATAGAATTAATACTGCAAACATATTGAGAGTGGTTTTATATTAATAGAAAATACCACAGTGTCCCAAATAAAAATAAATGCATCATCAGTTTATGATTTACTTGAATTGCCTGTTTTTTACAGTCAAAGGTAACTCTATAAGTTCCTTCTTCTTTCTGGGACAAATTACAATTTAATATATTTTATTTCTCCTTTTTTCCCCTTAATATTAAAGAAGAAATACCCCTGAAATGTCACTTGATTGATTGTAATGGCCAGCTGTTACAATCTCAATGGAAGTATAAGAACTGCTGCCTAAGGTGCACTGAAGAGTGCCAAGCCTCATAGCAGCTCAGCTCATCCTAAAAAGCACTACAGTCTGGAGTGAAAACTGCAATTTTAAATTCTCCCAGAGACCCATTATTTGCAAACCATTGACACAAACAGCTCCAGTACCCCCATCAGTGTATACCTGGGGAGCTCTTCATCCACAGAGCCTTGCATACTCAATAACTTTACATACTAGAAGTCCTTATGAAATTTTGGCTAAAGAGATGTTTTTACATATGTGAAATGTTTTTTCCTTACCATTCAAAAAGATGATTAATATATCAAAATGTACACTCAGTCCATCTTGATTTAGGAAATTTTCATTATAGAAAATAAGTCTGGTATCCAATAAATGTATGAAAAAATAGGAAAACCAAGACAACTCTCCCAGAACTCCTAGGTAGCTTTAAGGAATAGCTTAATAGATTTTTAAATGGTTGCAATTAAGGGGGACAAATGAAGCTAGAATTTTTACTTCTCTGAAAATTTAATCCCAAAGGATTTATTTTTTGAGTTAGAAATCCCTGTGAAAAGAGATGTAGACACTAGAACATTAATATTGCTGTACAATGGAACCTGCTATATAATTGTCATCCATTTAGACTAACCTTGTGTAGAACTTAAAAAACCCCAAAAGTTTTTAAGAACAAACAGATTGAATCTAATCTCATTAATTGACGATAACCAACATTCAACATAAGTATCTGATGCTCCTATCAGTAATAAGCCTAGTGGATATTTAGAATACTGCATTTTCTTGCCTTTTTTTTACTCATTTTTAAATTAAATCTGTGTCTACCTCTCTAGCTCATGTAAAATTTAAACAAATGATAAAAAAAAAAATATTGTTATATCATTGTCTTTAAAATCACAGGAAGTAGTCAGGATGCAGAAATTGAAGATGTTTGATACTTTGCAGACTAAAACTATACCCTTCACAGTCCACTCAGAGTAATTTTTATTGTAGTATCTTTCCTAGCATCCTAAATATGACATCTATTATATCATTTGGTATGATTATTTTTTTCTTTCAGATTTATGGGTGTTTGCTGTTCCTTTCTGTTTTATTTTTGGGAAGAAGAGTTTAGCTTCTCTAGAAGAATATTTTAGGTTTTATTTTTAACCTATTCTTTCTTTTCAAAAAAAGAGAATGTGCCTGAATGTGCAAAAGACACTACTGTTCTTCCGATTCTGCTATATAAGAAATTGAAGTATAGGCTTCTTCAATGAAGCCCAGAGTTCAACTCAGCTCTGTAAATGGACCAGGCAATATTCACACCTTATGGCGTGAAGATTTTGTATGATACTATATATCGCTTAAATAATTCACCCATCCCTTGCAAAGTTTCTTTATTCTTAGTGTATCTACAAAAGTTTTTCCATATATTTATCAAAACCTCTTTTTTGTCTTATCAGTTACACTTTATCTTCTGAATGTTTTTCTAATAGTACAAATGCTGGAGAAAGAGGAAGATAATAGCAAAGAATCAATAGGCTTATTCATATTCACTGACACTACAGTCACAGCTTTCTTTACAGGAAAACTGGCTCTTTTCCCTTACAATTAGAAACTTCTCATACCAGCAGCCAAGGTTGTTCCAAGCAAATCTGAGAATGAGCTGGAAAGGTGGAAATAAACCAAATCCAGGATGGCAAATAAAAAACAATAAGAAAAACATAAAACTCATGCAGAGCCAAAACATTGCAGCCAAATCCAGACACAAGTGTATGTATGGTATTGCACATGCACACACTCTGTAGCAGTTGCAGCTGCAGCTGTAGCAAAATACCTACTAAAATCCAACTGTGAACAAGTATTAACAGGCTCATTGCATCAATCCCATGGCAAAAGTGACACTGAGACATGAAGTTGTTGCTAATTATCCACCAGCCATTAATATAGCTCCTGCTGCTGAGTCCTATCTCCTAACATTCCATCTGTGATGCTTTTTTACCTTATTTCCAATTCAGCTACTGAAAATTTCATATGTAAGATATATATCTTGGTCAAAGTAAAATGCAGCTCTGAGAAGGCTTCAATTCACAGAATCATGTAACAGAATAGGAAGAATGTTTGTTGTAATCCTTAGCAAATATCTTCATCAAAGAACTATCAAAAGATTTCAGATGACAGCATGAAGCTTTGCATGAAGCTTTGCAGTTGCTTTTTCTCTGTCTTTTTTTGTGTGACAGAACAAGAGAGAACTTGTAAAATTTGCATCAAAATTAACTTTTACTGGGCGAACCCATTTTTTCTACCACAGTAATAAATATTTCCATACTATTGTATTTTTTCTCTAAGGATGAATTTAAAATATTTATTTTTGAATACACACAAAAAAAAAATGTTTGTTTGTTTTTTTTTTTTGGTAAAAGGCAATATGAAAAATGGGTAAGTTTATTGTAGCTTAAAGCATTTGTTGATACTTAATGGATTTTACACAATATATTTAACATTTTTGCTGTGCTGGGAAAACAGAATAAATATTAATCTCTTCCACCAATTAATTTGCTCAACAGTCATCATCTACTAAATGGGCTTTTGCACAGGCTTACAACACCATGTCTAATGAAATGGCACCCTTGGTATCCTGTACAGAGAAAATATGTGAGTGATAATCCAAGTTTTCTTTGAGTTTTTCTTGGAGTGAAAGGAAAAAATATTTGTGATATCCCATCTCCACGGTATAGACAGAATGTAAAGGTTTCTGATCTGTAAGGCCAAAATGGATCTGAAGCCAAGTTAATAATAGAAGGGAGAGTAAATTACTGTTCAGATGGAAATGAGAACAACTTAATCATTTTTTTTTTCAAAACTCTGACCATGCTACAGCTCTGTTTCATGAAGAAAACTTTGAATAGAAGATGTTAGTGGAAGACATATGTAATCCTTTTAAAGCTAACACATATCCTGTGCAGCAATTTTTTACAAAAGATTGCAGCACTGTTATACACTTTGTACTGTTCATACTTATATTGTGCAGCATATTATGGTGGAATGTGGTGTTCTATGTAACAGTTCAGTTTAGATTTTATCAATATTTTCCATACCTCTAGATTTCATTCAGACTTTCAGTTTAAAACCAGTGACAGAGGTCATTCACCTTCCCTACTCTTCCCACACATACTTCCCAAATCTCTTCTAGCCAGCCATCTTGTTCCATGGTAACCTCTCCTTATCGTTCTCCAAGTTTCTTAGCACAACTCTTCCAGCTGTCTTATCTTACATATCATATCTTTCAGAGGCCTTTAATGACAGCATCCATAATTTTGCTTTTTTAACATTAAAAATTATGGAATGTCATATAAATATATTAAATAGCAATAATCAATTTCTTTAATTTCTTCTTTAGCTTGGTTTTTTTTGTTGTTGTTGTTTGTTGGGGTTTTTTTAGATTATAAAGCTATTTGCAGCCAGCTCAGAACATCCAGTCATGGCATTAATGCTGACAATGCACAAAAAAGCAGACATTAAAAAGAATTAAACCAAAAAAAAAAAAATAAAA